ATTATTCCTGGTGGGTAGGGTTATCCTGATAGAGGTTGCTGTCCTTCCTGTTCCTCACCACAGCTCTGCTCCAACCCATGTTAATACTGAGTGATTCAGTAGGTATCTGGCCTCTCTTTTTGAAGGGACTCTACAGACTGGAGACTCAGATCTGTGTCCTCTGGATAGGTGGGCATTGCAGAGCTATTTAGTGGCTGTTGCATCTTCTCAAGAGAAAGGAAGAAGCAGTCACATGGAGTTAGGTAGAGGCAGTCCCTGTCCTCAGAAGAAAGATGACTGGCTCTGTACAGTCTGAGCTGGCTCAGGTCTGAGGAGAAGCTTGACGGCAGGGAGAGCATCTGCACTGCACATTAGGGACCTCACTGTAGAAGCATGAGGTTTGTTGATGAAAACAGGTAGTGATGTAACGACAGGAATGACTTGGGCTTAGCTGACACATGGCAGAATTAATGAGATAAAAGGCAAGAGTCCTTTATGACAGACAGATGGTGATAAAGGAAGGACCTGGAGCATAACTAGGTCATTGGTCACCAAACAAAGCTCCTGCCCTCATGTGTTTTATTGGGAAGGGTTTTAGTTATGAAATATATTCACCAAAAAGCACACAAGTACACACTGACCATGTAACCCCACCTGGGTCAGAGTTGGTCGAAACCTTAACACAGTCCCAGGATATATGTGAGTTCACACTTTGCCAATAAGCACATTGCCACTGTGTGAGCATTTAAAATTATTTGTCTTCAGTCATATAACTAGTGACTTCAGAGGCTGATCTGCATGTGCAAGTTGGCACCCACTGGCTACTTTAGGGTAAAGTGGAAAGAAGCAAGGACTCAGGGGTGGGGGGGGGGCCTCTGTTGAGGTGGGAGGGGGCAGTAGATGTTTGCTGGTTCCTCTGACCTTATTGCTGCTCTTTTTAAAACTTTAATTATGGAATTAGGGAAATTCTACTTTAGGTACATAAAATTGATTTATATTTTTGTATACTTTTCAATTTTGCAATCCTCCTAATTTCCTGGAGCCTCATAAATGATATTTTGATTTTGCTAACTCTTGTCATTAGCAAAAATGAGCCCAACTATTGTACTTTCTGCACACTGTTAACAGAAAAAGCATGCTATTAATAGTCAAAGCAGCCAGCATTGCATCCCTCCCATTTAAATGTGTTGTTTTCTTTTTTCAGAAAACTTTTTGCAAGATAAAGCATTCCAAATGAGAAATACAGCTCTGTGTTTTCAAGAAATTGTTGGAGAAGTGAGCATCCATACTTTAGGGTGCCTGAGGCCCGAGAATTTAATTTTTTAAAACATTTCTGGTGTGTTCTTTTGTATGAAGTACTTTTAACATTTATATTCATTACTAAAGGGTAGACTTTATATTTTGTGAGTGAACTTTGCATTTTCATTTTCTTCCACTTTAACCACTAATGTTAGAATTCATTTCCAGGGATCAGTTGGCATGTACGTTAAAATGATTTGACTGGCCTAACCAACTAGTCATGGAGGAGCACTCCTGATTTGTTATTTACCCCAAATGTTCTGAGTGGTAGAGAGATGGATCTAATGACATGAAGGTACCCTGCCATTTACTTACCTGGAGCATCATGTGGGAATTCTTCTCTGCCTTACTTTGTTTGATCACAACACCCAAGACCATTTTTGCTGCTACAATACACCACCATTAATTCATCTGCACATTTATCTGTTTACCAAATGAAAAATAATTATCAAATGAGACATATGCTTATACTTAAATAGCTTTCTTTTAAAAATCGGCTTTTAGGGATAAATTTTAGAAATTTCTGCATTCTTATTCTAGGTCATTTTTTTAAACCATTGGGCAGGGAGAACTTGTTACAGCCACCTTTTGTAGTGTTTTCCACTAATACTGGTTATACTCTGCTATGGAAAAAGTCAGAGTATCCATGAGCTCCAGTTCATATTGCAACTAAGATTCTTATCAACACAATGAGAGTCAATAAACTATTTTTACTCCACTAAGTTAAAAAATAACTTAAGGAAAATTAGCAGTTCATCTGTTCAAAAACTGACTTTTGCATTTTTATACTGCACTTTAATATATTTTTGTAACTAAAGGAGAAGATCTGCTTCAGGAGTGAAAATTGGGGTCCTTGGGTGGGTAGGTGGATGCCAAACCCAGATTCGGCTTTCCTTTAATTCTTTTTTGAATGGTTTTTTGAAAAGAGGCAAATCTCAGTGGTCTTTTTTTTTTTTTTTTTTTTTTTTTAATGTATGGACTGTGTTGCCTATTTTTAGCCATGGTCATTTCCTTTGTTATGTATACAGATTTCTTCATGTATCATGTAAGAATGAAAAACACTTCAAAACTACAACATGGACTGTTTGCAGGTGCTGCCAGTCAAAGCCGTTCCTGGTGGGTTTTCTGTGCTCTGGCCTTGGCCTTTCCGTTCCCTCCTGTCATGTCTTCGTCTTTCACAGTAGCACTCACAATCTGCACTCCCAGGGTGCTGATGCTCCAAGGCCTGCTTTTATTCAAAATTTCTACTGAAATTGAAAAAGAAAGTGACAGATGAAAGGAGACCTGGAGGGAGCAGGTGCTGGTTCACTATTTTCATTTTGTTATAACAGGAGGGGTTAAAATAGAGAAAATGCTTAATCTGCGAATGAGGAGGGGTTTTGGTCAAAAAATAACATGAGGTCAAAATATGATAGTTATAAAAGTGTACTGCAGAAAATAATGTGTTTTTACTAACTTGGCCCCTCACTGTTAACAATTGTGAAGGGTCAAAAGCTTTAGGTTTAGGCATATTTTGTAAAGTTTTCAACAAGAAAAAAGTGTTCCATGACTTGAGAGTACCATCAAGGCCAATTACTTGGGTTATTTTCGCACTTATTGACTGCTAATAAAAGCTGTTTAAAGGGAGGCAGGGGGACATTTGCAAGTGATCTGTGTAAGGCTTGTGTACGTAAAACTATTTGGGGCTCACTTCCCCTAGTAATGGTTATGCGGGATGGATGGACCTACATCTTTATACTTTAAAATCTTTTTCCATTGCTCAAACTGAAATAGTTTTGCTACTAGATAACTGTTATTTTACTAAGCCATACCTAATACCTATAGAATTGTATTTTGAAAAAATTTTATACAGCCATTTTGTATCCATTGAAACTAACCTTTCATCAATAAAGCACTATTGTTTAGAGGTTAAAGTAGTATTCCTCATTATTTGTTCTTTCTCGGGGAAAGGTGTAAGGTCTTCTGGGAAAGGTTCTACAGTAAGTCCTCAAATGTGTGTCTAAAGTCAGGAAAATTACTTGCATCAATAGCATCAGCATTCAACAATTTTGTATTGGCAATCCAGTTCCAAAGGAAAGCCATAAAGACAGGAAAAGGAATTATTTACAGATGATCTGATCTCCTACATAAAGTGAAAGAATGATAAAACTGAGCACTAGTAAGAGTTCAATGATGTCCTCTTACTAATAAATTTTACTTAGAGCTCTGGCCAGGTAGCTATTTCAGTTAGAGCATCCTCCTGATACACCAAGTTGCAGGCACAAGCCTCAGGGTACATACAAAAATCAACCAATGAATGCATCAATAAGTGGGCAAGCAAATTGATGTTTCTCTAAAATCAATAAAATTTTTACAAAAAATTTTAGTGATAAAAATCTCATTCAATGTGGCAGCAGCTACTAAATACCTGGAAGTACAATGAATGACAAATAGAAACCATATATATTCTGAATATTACTAAGATCAGTAAGGAAAGTTCCTCTACAATTAAACATTAAAAAAAAAAAACACAAAAAAAACACCCTGGACTGTAAGGCTGATCTGGAGGTCTGAACAGCACTCGCTGTCCCACTGGGTAGTGAAGCTCCCGCTGTCTAGTTCCTTCTCTTGGCCCCCTATGGTGGGCACTATGCAAGCTGCAGCCTGTACAGGGTCACCCGCCCTCTAACTTGGCTCTCCAGTTTGCTGTCTCCCCCTGGCCCTATGCACCTGTTGTGGGGTGGAGTTAGTGGGGCTTTGTGGCTGCAGGGACAGTGGCTGCAGCCGCTGGGGGTACTGACGTGGGGCCTGGCGGTGTCAGGGACAGTGGCTGCAGCCGCTGGGGGTACTGATGTGGGGCCTGGCAGTGTCACTGGGGGCCATTAAGAGCGAACTCCCAGAGGGAGCTGTGGAGAGCTTGGCCGGTCAGGAGGAGGGAGGGTCAGCCGCGCCTGCGACCTGAGACGACCCTAACCGGAGCGACACTTCCAGGCTTTTTGGAAACGAGGTATCGAGCATGGCTCAGGAGCTGGGAGCACTGCAGAAGTCGCCTCAAAGACGACCCCAGTCGTTTTTTTGAGTAATCCCCTCTACAGCCTTAGCGGGTAAAGCCGCGGTGCCAGGACCACACCCACCTCGGAGGGCGTGGCCTTGAAGGGTGTGCAGTTCCTTCACCGAGCCTCTGGAAGGAGGAGTATGCGAGCCGGGAGAGGGCGGTGGTGTAACATTTCCTTACTTGGGTCGGGATCCGGAAGCAGGAGTGGTCCTCAAAGGCTGAAATCAGGCCGCGGTTCTCCTCCAAGAGGAATGAATCTCCGCCGCATCACATCCTTCTGTTGACTCGGTGCCCTTAGCTACGGTCTCGGTAGCCCTAGGAGGGCAATGGGTGGAATTTAAGAAGGATGACACAAGGTGGCTGAGGGAGCCTCTAGGAGAGGAACCGCGCCAGGGCCCTCAGAGGCGAAGCCCCGCCCAGTCCCAAGTGCAGGCCCCGCCCAGGACCGAGTCCAGGCCCCGCCCAGCGAGTCCGAGGCCCTGCTCCCCAGTCGAAGCCACGCCCAGGACAGAGTCCGGCTTAGAGAGCCCGGTTTTTGATGATTCGCATTAGAATCCTCAGGGGCCTCTCCGCCTCCCCGCCCACTCCAGGCCCCTTCACCAATCAGAATTCAATGCCAAGCTTCCAGACCAGCCAACCGGCGGCGTGTCCGCGGGGGAGGGGGTGGGGCTCCGGGCTGGGGCGGGGGCGCGGCGCGGCCCGCGGGCAGTCGGGAGCGGGCGGAGCCGGCGGAGGACCGGAGGCCGCTGCTGGAGACTGCACGGGCGGTCTGGCGGGTGAGGACTCGGGGCTGCAAGGGTGCGGGGGCGGGCGGCGGAAGCCGAGGCCGAGGCCGAGTGTCCGGGCAGGGCGTGCGTCTGAACCGCGGCGTCCCGGGTGCCTCATACAGCGGTCACTTGAGGAGTCCACGACTGCGCTCGCGAGGCCTTCTAGGATGGCGGGCTCCGTGAGAGGAGGGCCATGTGTGGGGAGCCCACCCCCCGAGGCCTGTGGTGCCCCAAAAGGACCCCGCGTGGAGCCCGTGGGCGGGCTGGGCGCAGAGTGTCCCGTGGTGTGGTGATCGTGCCAGCGTGGACCCTCCGGTGTGCCCCGCGTGGAGGCCCGGGGCGGGTGGGACGGAGAGTGCCCCGCGCGGAGGCCCAGATGTGCACTGTGGAGGCCTGCGCAGAGCCACAGGTGGCAGCTCCCCCTGGTTGGCGTGGACCAGGCCCTTCTTGGCCTTTCCTTATATTGTTTCTTAAAGGTAGGAATTCGGTGTTAGGTATTAAAAGTTTTGACTCCCCTAAGGTCTGGAAATACTGTACTCCTAAGGCAGTGGGGAACCTTCTAAAGGAAAACCATGAAGGGTGGGACCAGGATATGGTGCAGTCCATCACACAAACATCATTTTCATTTACCCTGGTCCTAGTCAGCAATGCCTGTGGGGAAAAAACAAGCATGTTGATGGAAATAACGTCAATACATAATGTAAAGGAAAAATGGGAAGACTTAACGACCTAGGGCTAAATCTTTAGAGTGGTTTTTCTTTCTACCTTAGTTTTGTTTGTTTCCATGAGGTAGCTTTGGCTGGACCACTATGGAAATGTTTGATAACCATCAGGCGGCCCTGGGTTAGAGTGTAGACTGTGTTGCAACAGAGGACACAGATTTTCTCGATGCCAGCGAGATGGGAGAAGACATTTGAGGTAGCACCGTGGAGTGACCTTTACTTGTAGACCAAATATTTTAATTTTCTGTAACTGCTATTTTTTTGAAACATTTTTCTGAGTTCCTGGACATCAGGAGACATAATTCTGTGTTGAGTTGTGAATCGTGTCATGCTGGTCGTTTTGTTTGGTTCTTTCAAAATCTGCAGAGTTCTTTCTGTACTAATTCCTTTCCCAAAGAAGTTTATATGGCATTAGTTTATTGCTGCCTCAGCAAGGTTCCTTGTTGATAAAATGGGTTAAAGTTTACCTCAGAGGGTTGTTGGGAGGACTGATAGGGTAGCTGCTAGCAAGATGTCTGGTACACAGTCAGTGCTTAATAAATGTTAGCCATTCTGTTCTCAGGTGAAAGATTAGTCTGAGTAGACATCGAGAAATGGACGGGATGAAGGCAGTTATCATGCATGGAGGGGAGGATATACACTGAATTGACAAAGCAAAGACTGATGCAGGAATAATTCTATGCAAGTTTTTTAAACCCATATAGCCACAAGGAATTCTGTCCTTTCTAAACACTCCTGCCATAGTCACAGCAACACCTCTATACTCAGACAGTAAGAGGTTTTTCTTATTGCTGCTTCCCCTTTCAGGTTTGTTTGCATTTTTTCTTCGCCACTTTCTTATCAGCTTATCAATGGGTCATGAGCTTCCTGCACACAGAATAATGTTAGTTATGCAGGAAAACCTCAATCACTCCAGGTTTTACCTTGGCAGCAGACTAAAAAAGGTGAGGGTTCCACAAAACTTAATATGAAAAAATCCCAATGTTTGATGAGTTTCTAGGGAGCAGTTACCGTATTTTTCGGACCATAAGACGCTCCGGACCATAAGACACACCAGTTTTTAGAGAAGGGAAATGAAGAAAAAAAGATTCTGGAACAAATAGTGTCCTAAAATATTTTATGTGCATTAAAACCCAACATCACAGTCATAAACACATGTAATCAACCCTGTAAAGTAAACAGCAGCATTTAGAACCATTTTAGAGCCGGGCAAGCACACAGAAACCACACAGAGCCGGGCAAGTAAAAAAACTTTTTTTTTAAAGTATATGTGTAGGCTATATTTGGACCATAAGACGCAGGGACTTTTCCCCCCACTTCTGGGGGGGAAAAAGTGCGTCTTATGGTCCGAAAAATACGGTATATTGGTGGTGATTCTGTAAATTGAGCTAATCTTTTTGGAGAGCAGCTGGCAGTATGTGATAATGACTGTGATTTTGGAATTTCAGTTTTGTTGTTTTTTTTAAAATATATTTTATTGATTTTTTTTTACAGAGAGGAAGAGAGAGTTAGAAACATTGATGAGAGAGAATCATCGATCAGCTGCCTCTTGCACACCCCCTACTGGGGATGTGCCCGCAACCAAGGTATATGCTCTTGACTGGAATCGAACCCGGGACCTTCCAGTCCCCAGACCGACTCTCTATCCACTGAGCCAAACCGGTTTCGGCTGGAATTTCAGTTTTTAAAACAAATTCCAATATGCATGGAATAGCACTCCACAGCCAATAAGCATGTTCTAGCAACCCCATCCTTGTCCTTCCCTCCCAAAACATTTGAAATGTGTTAAAAAAAAAAAAAAAATGGCTTAACCAAAAAGGCAAAGCTGTGTACATAGTAATTATATGTTGTAAAAATATGAGAGGACGTGGACAAGGATCAGAATGATATAACTAGTTGTATTTAGAGTCATAGGATTGTTTTACCTCTAAACTGGCATTTGGTTTATAGCCATTTTAAAATGCAAATGCAAAATGTTGTTACTATGATGTTGTAGGATGCAGTGATAACTCTTTTTTCAGCCCATTCCCCCAGCTCATTTTCCTCATTGCTTTCTCAGCTATAGACCAGAAGGAGGTGTGAAATTGCATCCAGACCTCTTAGGTTGGGTCACGACACCCTCACTGTCCAGCCCGCCATGGGCATCCTTGGGGCCCCAACCACATCCAGCCTTCCATTTTTACCCAGCAGTCTCAGGCCTGTGCACATTGCTCTTTGTCCAGCTGGTCTCTTGTCACCTGCAAGGCCCAGCTCCAACTTCAGGCCTGGGAAGCCTCTCTGGGTCAGGCTAGCAGCACTCCCTTCCTTGATGTTACCTCGTACTTTCTGTCCTCTGGTACTGCAGTGGAGAGGTGCTCCTGGCCACTTACATGGTTGTTTCCCCTTCTAAATCTTTGTGTTCCTGTGCTTGCCATCTGGGGTCCTTCAGAGCAGAGAGGAGACAGTACACCATGGAATCAGGGTGGGGTCACTTGCAGAGCTGAGTGACCACGAGCAAGTCACTAACCTTTCTGCACCTGGGTTTCTTGGTCCGTAAATGGGATCCTGAGGGTCAAATGTGGTGAGGGCTCCTAGCAATGACGGTCACTCAGGATGTGGTGACTCTTGGAATATGCACCAGGACCTTCTTTAGGCCTGCTGCAGGTGCTGTCTTCTCATTAAGGCCTTCTCACTCCCTCTCCATCTGTCAAATCCCATCTGCTGTCTTTACTTTCGCTGTGGACTTACCACCATTTAGTGCGTTCTCTTCTTTATATTTTCCACTATAATGGAAGGGATTTTTCTCTCTCTTGTAAAGTCCCATATCCTTAAGTATTTAGACTTGCTTGATACACACTGGGCACTCAATAAAATTAATTAGATTTCATTTGGGGCAAGGGCAGATGCCAAATTTTATGGGGCCTGAAACTTACACAGTTGGGCAAAGGAGGGCCTCTTTAAGACAAGAATACAATGTTAGAAATAAAAATTAATTCTGAAAGTGAATAATTATTAAGAATGATTAAAAAAAAGTTACAGATTTGAAAAATCTGTCCAAGAATACAGATCACTGAATTCCAGAAAATAGCACATTTGTTAATTACCTGATACATGCTATAATACTTTTTCTTTGACTGTGCACTTTTTAATTGCCTCTTCATATGACAAAGAATGAAAAGAATTTAGTGATTCCTCTAGCATAGTTGATAAAAAAAAAAGTTATTATTGAAAGACACAGAAAACATGATTTCACGTATAGACATATTTGCTGTTTCTAGTATAACTGCAGCTGGTGTCTTTGAAAAGTATGAGTTCTTTGAAATTCTATTTTGCACAATTCCATTAAAAAAAAGTAGAAAAATCGAGGGTGCATTTATAATTATATTACTACATTATCAATTTTTCTGACAGGAGCACCACAGGTTTTCAAGCCTTGTTTCTGCCCCTGCCCACACACTTCCAGTGCTAGCCCTGATGTACTCAGGTGCTGCAGCCCCCACCTGGCCCTTTGTCTCAGTCCCTGGTGAGCAGGCACAGTGCTATAACAGTATTCCTGGAAGCCACACTTGCACTGAGATGGCTGGTCATAACTTAAGTATACACAGAAGTAATTGCAAACAACATAAATGAATCCCATTAAACCTAAAATAAATGTCTCCTACTCATTGTGCCCTTAGCTGGATCTAAGATGCCCCTTCTAAGCAACCTGATATAAAGGGAAAGGGAGAGAGTGAAAGGAGACAACAGTCTTAGTCCATTACAATTAGAATGTTTTTTGCAAATTTTACAAAAGGCTCTAATGATAGGCACAGTTTGCATAAGACCTTGGGAGAAGCCAGTGCAAGTGAGGGCCCAAAAATCTGAGGTAGAATAGCTGGTTTTGCAGGGGTAGTTTCTGGCCTTTTGCTTGATGCCAGATGATACAGTAGAGCTCGTGGGACGAGGGGGCTCTAAGCATCCTCCAGCCGCCAATGAGAATGTATTTGAGGAGAAAGCACACTAGGCAATTTCACAGACTGTTTAAATTGCTAGGTTTTATTAATGCCTGTCTCCTTCGTGATTCATACCCCAGTGGTATTGGTGGTAGATAACCAGGTGAATGTTGGGGGAACAAGTTTCTACAGCCATGGCTGCATAACAACCCAATAAGGGACTTCGTATACAACACTCCCCAAAATTTCCTGTCACCCAGTGATTTCGCAGCTGTCACAACATCATAGTGCAACACATTACATGTTTGTGCTGATGCTAGTGTAAAAAAACCTGCTGGCCGTATAAAAGTACAGCACATGCAATTATGTACAGTAC